GCCTGATAGCTCAGAAGACTAAAACGCCTGCTTAGGCAGAGTGCAGCAGCCGGGGCTTAATCCCCAGCATGCCATACTGGCCTGCCCATGGGGCGCACTGAGATGGCAAATGAGCCTGGGCGTGGTGGCGTGCGCCTGTAATCCCAGCACTCGGGAGGCTGAAAACAGGAGAATCACTACCAGTCTGTTCTACATAGTGAGACCCTGTAGAACCTGTCCTAAATACAGAAAATAAATAAAACTATGTACTTTATTTACTTTCTAATTTTATTTTTGGTTTTTTGAGAGAGGGTATGCTATGCAGCTCAGGCTGGACTTGTACTATGTAGGTCCCTGGAGGGCTAGGATTAAAGGCACGTGCCATCATGCCCAGGAACACATGTATTGTTAAACAAGGGCTTGTTGTCACGTGATCCAAGACAGTCATACTCAAGCACAGAAAAGAAGTGAATAACCAACTCTCTAGCCCTGTGAATTCCAAATTTCAATCATAAAAAGTGCAGCACGATTTTGTCAGAAGCTGAGTTATCAGCTTAGAAACAGCACAAATTCCACTATTTTTTTTTCTTTCCTTTCCTTTTCTCAGGGGCTGGGAGATAGCTCAGTAGAATAAGTGCTTCCCTGGCAAGCACAAGGGCCTGAGTTCAATCCCTGGTTCCGCAAAACAGAAACAAACCAACCCCCCAAAACCTTTCCTTTCCTTTCTTTCTTTTTTTTTTTTTTTTTAGTCAGGGTCTCACTGTACAGTGCACGTTTGCCTTGAATACCTTAGGGAGCCTAAGCTGGCCTGGAGCTCACGAGCATCAAGGACCATCTTGCTTCGGACCCCCCAGTGGTGGGATTACAGGTATGCACCACCATGCATGGTGTGTGTGTGTGTGTGTGTGGCCGGCTCAGCCCACCCTGGGGGCGGGACTGGCATGGGATCAAAGGGCAGTCCTTCAGTATTTGCCTAAGCATGCGCTTTAGATCTGAGCTATCTCACCGGCCCCATCCCTAGATTTTTATCGTCCTACGCTATTCTTTTGGAATCTGTAGAGCATCTAATTTTATTTTGTGTTATGTTTTGGTACGGGGACTCGAACTCAGGACCTTGAGCTTGCCAGGCAGTTTATGCTGCTGAGCTATATCCCCGCCCTGCAGGGCATCTTAGTGGAATGTAAAAACAAAAAAGCTCTCCTAACCTTCCAAATTTCACAAGACCTCACATCAGCCGAACAGCCACGCTGCCTTCCGTTACGGTAAGCAGAAGCGACTGAGCCCTAAGCGCGGCCTCCACGTCGCTCTGCAGCCCGCCCGCAGAAGCAAAGGGCACAGCAGGAAAACAAGCCCTCCCCGTCCCGACCACGGTCCTGCCCCGAAGCGGCGCGCGAGGTGCGTGGGGGCAGCTACGGATCGCCGGGCACTCGCCTCCCATCCACAGGCCCACAGGCTGGCGGTCCCGAGCTCGCCTCCGAGGCCGCCCGGAGCGCGGGCGCCGGCGCGCCTGCTCGGCCCGAGGCCTGGCGCGGCCGGGCGCCCAACTCCGCCGGGCTTCGGAGGAGAACGCAGCGCGCCCGCACCCTGCCCTCAGGCTCGGACGCGTTTGAGCCTTGTGCTCGCCACCGGTCTGTGTTCCTTCTCCTGCTCTCCTCCAGATCTCTCATGAAAAGTAGTTTATTACCCGGCTGTTACCAGCCAGGGCCCCTCGAGGAGACAGAGACGGGCCTTAAATCCTTCAACTCTGTACGACCCACCACCCCTCCCCTGGCGGGTCACAGAGGGCTGATTTTCCCTGAAAAGGGGGAAATAGGATCCATCGATCCCCTATCGATCTGGGCCTGTGTGACTAACCTGTGACATCATTTACCGACGACAGGGTTACCGACTTGGCCCAGCGCCGCTGCCCAGAGCCCAGGGCTGGCCGGCACCCTGCTAGGTCAGCGATGGGGAGGAGCCCACCAGGGGGAACACGCAGTGGGTCAGGGCCTGCCCTTCCTCAGCTCTGGCGCAGGCTGCCTCGCTCCCCTCCTTCAGGTCTGGAAACCCGACTGACTTTTCAAGCCACTTGTCCGTCTGGGCCTTGAAGCACAGTTCCACTTACCAATTTAGCATTTCCCCCTATCTAATTTAACATTTTTTTCCATTCTGCTTTCAGATATTGTGGGGGGGCCTGTTCTCACAAGCAATCCCATTGTCTCGAAATCACAATAAAGCTCTGTAAGACTGGACTAGTGGTAACTTCTAACAAAGGCACAAAGAGCTTTATGACCTTATTGGCTTCTTTGCCCCTTGGCAGCCCCGTGTCAGTCTAAGGCTGCATTCCCATATTTGTTTGGGACGAGGTTCCTCCCTGTACTCTGGCTTTCTTAGCATGGGAGGACACCAAATGATGGCACGCGAGAAGCATGGCATGTGAGATGGCACCAAAAGGTGGCCCATGTAATGACAGATGGCTACAGAGGTCTAGACATTGAGCGATCTTGATGCCAAGGGCTTCCCTGTTAAAGGGGATGGTAGGAGCCCCTTGTGGATCCAGGAGCCCTGTGATATGGCCAGGACGCTGGGATGGTGGGCAAAGGGGGAGACAGGCACTACCTCCACACAGTGGCCAGGCACAGAGCTGGAAGAGGCCCCCAGGGCTGAGGCTCCAACCTGGGTGGCACCAGCATGACCCAGGGCCCTTCTGTGAGTCTGAAATGCGATGATCCATCAGTTCATTGCGGCAGGCAGCAGCTACCCGCTGTGGAAGGCCAAGCATGCTGGAAGCGCTGATTGAGCCTGGGAAGTGTCTGGTGATAGGAGCTGGTGTGGGCCAACTGCAGGAAAACAGAAAGTGGCTGCTCCATTTGTCCTGGGTCCCCATGTTGAATCAGAACAGTGGGCTCCCTGGAATCAGATCCGCACTGACCGTGCTGCCAATCATGAGAAGTTTGTGGAGAGAGGACCGATGTTTCCCTGCCATCCCAGCAACATGACAATTGTTCTTCTGCCGGGTGTTGGCCCTTTCCCTGCTTAAGAATGGCCCGAGAACTCTTCAATTCAGACTTTTAAGCACAACTAAAGCATACTCCTACCTCCCTGCTTTGCTCAGCGATTGCCTCCACTGGTCGGGGCAACTAGGTACCAAGAGCTCTGGGGTCAGTGGGGCAGGAGCTATTTATACCTCTGTGAGCTATTTATACCAGCAAGTATGAAGTGGTGCTGGCTGTCCCTTCCCTGGGTACATGTCTTCCCACTAGCACCTTAGCAATGTCTTTCCACTTAACAAGTTTACTGAGGGCCTCCTGACGCCTGGCACTTGCCCCCAATGGTGGACATTGGCAAAGCTGCCTTGGAGGTAGGACCTGTGCATCATTCATTAAACATCCCCAGGGTGCCCGGTGCTTGGGAGGCACACAGGATGGCTTGTGTTGGAGACACCAGCTCAGACAGCCAGCACTGGAGAGGATGAACCAAATCCCTATTGGCCACTCCATCTATGCATTCATGGTATGTCTGAGCCTATGACACTATGTGAGTTCAAGTGATGGAATACAATTATGAAAATGAAAAAAGTTTAGGATAAATAAGCAAAAGAGGACCCCAAATAAAGTTGTAAACAGATACCCAAACTTCCATTTTTCAAAGACAGGCAATTGTAAGATGCTGAGAATCGAAGAATTTATCATGCTGGAAAAGATCAAAGAGATTGTTCTGAGGAGTAAACTGAGGCCAGGAGAGTGTGAGTGAGTTACCAGGTGCCACACCCCAAGTTTTTGTCCAGGATAAGGCATGCCGCCCTCCACCACACTCTGGTGCCTGGCCACAGGTCAGAAGGGTACATAGAAAGAGTGCTGTTAGCACACAGACTGCTGCTTGCAGATCTAGAATGTCCCAAGTCTTCGAATCCTGGGGTCTCTTGGGTCCAAGCTTCCATTCATACAAGTGTCACAAGTGGCCTGGGCTCCCCAGCAAGAGGGCTGGAGACTTCTCCAGGATGGGGCATAGGGGCCTCTCCATGGTTCTGAGTCCATACAAATCACCCCAGACCACACATGCAGAGCCCACCCTATGATCCCTCCCGTGGGAGGTCTCAGTGGCCACCCCAAGAAGAAGCGTATGAGAAATAAATAAAACTTATTAAATGCTAAGCATAGGCACAGTATAATCCTCCCTTCCTCCTTAGAAATGTATGGCAATAGCAAATCATTCACTCAGCTACTAGCTACATTGCATGATGACCCCTCAGCCTCTGCTGCTTGGAACCTTATTTGCATCCTTTATTGTCAATTGACTTTCCTGTGCTTAGGTTGTGCTAAGCCAATAAGAGCCTGTGCAGGCCTCAAGGTCAATGAACTTTGGTACCTTGCCCTCTCCACTCCCAGCCCTACTCACACCCTACCCAGGGCCGGGCTTTATGTGTGCCCAGCACTGAATAAGTGATTGTTTTTTAAAAGTATGGCGCTTTCGGGAGAGAGACGTAGATGTGACTACTGCCAAGAGGTGACCAGGCAGAGCCAGACAATGGAGTCTCTGCACAGCGCTTCTTCAGCCTGGGCTCCTTGCTTGGATCAGCAAGCCGCCTGTGACCTTGAAGTGCTTTCCCACCACTGGGGTCTCTGGTGCTCTTTCTGGCCCCTTCTAGAATGCTCTGCAGAGGCGGCTAGCTATTCTGTTTTCAAGTGAAGTCTGCCAGGTGTACTGGCACAAGCCTATAATTCCGGCACTTGGGAGGCTCAGGCAAGAGGATCATGAGTTGAAGCCCGGCCTGGACTACAGTGGAGCTCCTGTCAGCAGATAGGTAAGAGTGTGGTCTCGGACCAAATGATCTAGAGATTTTCAAATGTGAGTTGAAATTTGGGGCCCTCTCCTGGCCAAAGTGGCATTAGCACCATAGTCCCTTCCAGATCTTGGCTGCCCCCGTGGGGCACAC